GGATGTCAGAATCCAACTCTTTTACAAATTCTAACAATGTAGAACGAAGTTGCTGTTTTTTAATATGCCCTGGAATCCATGATATATTCACTGTTGTATTTTCTTCAACGTATAAAAACCATTTAAATCCAGCTATATTTTGCTGTTTCAGGTATTTATCCAGTGTTAGTATCTCTGCTCTAGTGCGGCATGTGACATCGACTGTATGGTACGGTCTTACTGCTATACTAACGATTTGCTTAGTTGTAACGCCTTTTAGTACAATATTTTTCGCTGTCGCTCGCAGTCCCTTTTCCAACACATCCGGATGATTTCTTTCGAACTTCATTTGTAAACAATGAGGTCTGGGTATGGCCATGTTGACAGCTTTTCTCTTATCTCGAGCAATCGGAACTTTTTCCGCCACTCCATGTTTCACAGCTGTAGAATAGGAATTCATAATATAGGTAACCTGGTACACCCCTAGTCCAGTGATTCCCCCTTCAGGCGAGTTAAACAGGTCTAGTGTAGTCTAATACTACACATCCCGTCTTCGTTGTGAAAAATTCATGCCAACATAGTTAAATCTAACGCTTTAACAACTTGGTCATCGCGCCCACTCGTGCTTACTTATCACAATAAAAAAATAAAAATAAATTTAAAAATGAAAAAATTACCTCCTCCAACCAAAGATATATTAATGATGAACAGGCAAAGCGTTCCTATAATGCAGAGATTTATTTTCTCAATAACTTTTTAATCTAATTTACTTCTGCAAGTAGCGTTTTAACGTCCCACTCGAAGTAAAGTCGACACTACAACAACTGCTAGAAACGTTCACCGGCACACGTTTAATATGGCATTCAGTACAATTTTTCTATCACCAACACTTATTGACATAACAGTGGCCATATCTTTCATTTGACCTTCTGTTTCATATTTGAACATTTCTAATTATTTTGATAATTGGGATCATAACGTCATATTCATATTGCATTCGTTGCAATTTCTATAAAATTATCATTTACTGACATTACGGTGGCTGTATCTGTTATCTGACCCCTATGTTTCATATTCCGAGCGTTGCTCATTATTTTGATAATTGGGATAAACCCTCACTCACACACCCTCTGCGTAAGCTTGCTCGGTATTCGACGTTTGACCTGTATAATCATTGTTTTCGTAATTAACATCTCAGAATATATGAGCCTACCGGTCGCCCACGATCGTTTAGGTATCCGTTTGTTTCATTCCTGACAAGGCCTTGTACAGAAGCGGCCACTGATATTTAACGACATGTAAGTAACTGCTAAGTATGAAAACCCCGTACTGAAGCGAACGACTTCTGGGAAAATGAAACGCATGAGATTTGAACCCGAGGTTTATAACATGTGATGTCAATATGATTGAGTCCTGTGCTCCAACCCAAAACATAATTATCACTCTCGGTATGTAAACTGAATAGAATACTGATCACGTTTTGCGCCGTGGCAAAATTTACTTATCAATGTTAGTTAGAATTCTGATTTTATTTTGAAAAATTCCGGAATCTTCTTGTAATAGAGTGGGCCACGGTAACCTATCTGGTTAATCCGTTGGACTTGAACTTATGACATCGTATGTTGAAATCTCGAGTTAAAATTCCGTGCCCCCTCGGGTGGTATAAATTGGTTAAGCCACCCGGTCTAGGAAGATTGAGCTATGGTTTACCTAGGGCCTAGGTATTATCCATACGTCCTGGTTTAGCCGGGACAATGGATGTTAATGGAGGGAGTCTATTTATTGCTGATTTGCGACTCACATCACTACTTCAGTAAGAGAATGAGAAAACTACTGTCATAACTATTTATGTTCAATATTTAAATTCATTATCTAACCTTATCCGTACTGTCATTAAATTATCCAAAATGCCGAAAAAGTGCGTATTTTCCAATGATTAGAATATCAATACTAGTCATAAGAGATGTATATACTAAGCCTCGTAATTGAAACAAAGGTTTGTCCAATCCTTCGTTTTTTATATTTATACGGTAAGCCTATCCTTACCCAACAGTGACTGCCTGTGCAGAGCTTTATTCGGAGTTAATGACGTACAAGTACGCCTTATATAAAAACAATGAACGACTGTCAACAAAATTGATTTTTATTATACAAAATACTGGGTCCTTATGTCGTATGTGAACCAAGATGGCGGACACCGCAACGTAGTATGTGTACCAGGTTAGGGTTAGGCCATTAGTTTCAAGCACAAATACTACGGGAGTCACTTGATTAGTCCCTGAACTCGTAATAGAACTAAAAGAAGGAAAATTGGAATAAAATTATTGCTTAAACCTAACCTGGTACACATACTACGTTCCGGTGTCCGCCATTTTGATGCACATACTACGGGAGCGCCAAAAAATGTAGGTCATTGTACCATTCAGCTTACCTTGCTTTGCTGAAGAGGCTAAAAGTAAAATGGCAATTACAAAAAAATTAGATATAATTTCATTTTGGTATATATTGCTAATATTAATCTCGCTAAATTGTTTTCTGCAAAATAGACCACCTCATTTTTTTTTTAAATATTACACGCTATCGTGTCCTCAGCTATTTCATAATACAGTTTCGATTCAATACTCCCTACAACCTCACTAAAAATATAACCAATAAATTTCTAGGATAGATTATTGTAAAATGATATAGTGTCATAGATGAAGCATTGCGCTGGCGCTATTTCCTCACCTCAGCTTAAAAGGCCAATTTAATTTCCTTGTACAATAATAATGAGGCGCCATACAATATGATGGGGGTTATTGAATAAAAAAACATGTCATAAACGTTCATTGCCCTAGGAAGATAAAACAGGCGATAAATGAGCAATACAGATTTAAATCTGTTCGTCATTACGAAATACAAATCTCTACCGATCTTCTATAACGAACATTCACTTCTAAGTTGGAGAAGCGAACATTGTTCAGTGATGTTTTGATCCCACACGGATTTATCTTTGTCGCTCATGATGTTGTTCTAAGATTTTTTGACATGTTACATGAGTCCTACTTTTATTATAGACAAGCAATTCCCAAATTTTTTGTTCGTGCGGCGCCAAATTTTCAGGAAAAATCTCACGGCACACTTACTCGACAAAAATGCTGCTTTCAAAGAAAACTCATTTCTGTGATCGCTAATGTGTACTTTATGCTATTTAAAGTTTGTGAACATGAATGACTATCGAAAAATTGCAAAAGGTCAACACTTCTTTTTCATCTTTGCCTGATTTTCCTTTGTTAGGCTAAACACTCATGTTCGCTAAATTCGGTTCAGCTGATAAATAAACAGCACGGAGTGAGGTTCACGTAGCCCTTAGCATATTATGATTTTCGCCACCATTCTAGTTTGCCAGACTCCGAAGATAAACTGAGAAAGATGTTTCAGCTATAACTAACTATAGCAAAGACGAGTCATGTTCGAAAATATGACTTCAATAAAAAAAATTTAAGAATTCAACTCGACCTTTGACAGAAAGAAAAAAAAATGGCGGCGAAATTTATGTCTGAACAAATTCGAATAATTTGCTATTCGATTCGACATGGCCAGTTCTACTGGTAATCGAGCAAGGGGCTTTTGTCCACAATATGAGTCTTTGAACGAGTGGAAAACAAAAATTAAAAAGTAATATTGATGACGTTGGCCGTTTTTTGCCAACGAATATTCGAAGATAGAGCCGTAATTGAATCAATGAAAATGACGTGGAAGCTTTTTGTTCGTTGCCCAAAATGTATATTGGAATTAGTGCTAGGCATTTTTGCAAACCAGATGATTTCAGAATTGAATTGAATATTTTTTTCGAAATGGATCTCGAAGATTTGGAAGATTTTCAACTGTATGTGACATGTTTTTCATCAATATCTCACAAGAAAGAAAAGATTCATATTCCGAAATTACGTTGTAAAAACTTGGCTTCAATAAAAAAAAAATAAGGAATTAACCTCAACCATTTATCGGTGATTTGCAACTCCCGTCTGAACCGGTTCGATAATTTTCGATTCGATATGCCCAGCCCTAATTGGAATGTGCTTCAATCAATATCCATTTCGTAATAAGTCGATTTTTCGGGATTTAACTGTCGAGAACTTTAGGATTATATCAAATATTCTCCGATAAAAATGACTGAACTTATCTTTATATACAATTATATATAAAATTGAGCCTTCAAGTAACGCAGAAGCAGTTCATTGTATGAAAACTGACACATGAGAGTTCAAAATTTTCCTTTTACTACCCTCGTATCAAACATGGCGAATCTTCGGTTCCTACTCAGCCAATATGACTCAACAAAACACACGAATGTGTGGTTATAATGATTTCCGTGTCTGATGATTGAGTAAGTCTTCATTTGGTATGATTTGAATATGAACTGTATATATATGATCTACAAAAATATTCTTGATCTATACTTCCTATACTAGCCTATTCACACCGTCTGTGACAATGTTCGCAAGCGGTGTAGCTTTCTAAGGCTTAATGTCTTACCAGAAGAAAACTTTAGTCTAGGATTGAGACCCAAAGTCCGATAAGCATATTTCAATTGTGTTACGCCTAACCAGCATAAGAATTGAACTACAGCTCAGCTTACGTGTGTACTGGGAGTAGTTTTATCATAGTGAATCCTTGTATATTGCGACTTGAGGTGAAATTCTGGATCAAGATTAGTGCCATAAAAGGGGAATATGACGTACCCGACGTAGAGATTATTTAATTACGTTGAATTCAAAACAATCGAGTAAAAATTGGAATCATTTGGAGTGTAAAAAGTCTTGTTTATTGTCGTATGCAAGGTTTTTTAACAGAGACTCGGTCTACTTAGGGGATATGAGCATTTCTCTGGAAGCCACAAACGCCTTCACTATGTACGATCGGCGGTGACTATAATGATTTAAAGTAAATTGGCAGTGATCTGTCTCGATTTTTGACTTTATTTCTTTGCTCTATTGTTTTCAGTAGTATGACAAACGACTGATAGAAGCGTGTTATTAGCAAATCTAGGTGTTTTAATGAAGAACAAGGGCTGACAGTCTTTTGAAGAGTGCCTCGAATCAGGAAAGTTTGAAAACCACTCGTCTATTGATTTACCATCGAAACTGGTAAAAAGTTGTTTCTTCAACATGAAGGCTGTGATCAAAATGTTTCTTCTGATTTTACTTTTACAAACTACAAACAGCCGTGTCAATGGTATGAATTTGATCTGGTAAACTTTAACTTTCTTGTACCTTGAAGTATCGATTACCGGTTTCCTAGTTATAAAATAGTTATATCAGTGGCATTCAATCAGGGTTCCACCAGTACAGTCCAGGGTTCCACAAGTTTACTTTCTGTTCCGGGAGTCTGTATTATGAAATAATGAATATTGTTTAAATATAAATACACGGATATATTAAATGTGTTCCACAAGTGTTCTGTGAATGGTACAAGGGTTCCTCAAGCCAGTTGAATCTTCATTGGTGTTCCGTTCCAATAAAAAGGTTGAAATCCATTGAGTTATATAATAGTTGGCCATAGGTTGAACACTTGTATTTGTTTTTTTCGATACCTTCATTGTAATGAAATTGTACAGACCAAAAATAGCGGAAATACCAATGCGTCGCATACAAAGCGCAATACAATGTCAGCCTATAAAATGTCAATCTTAATGGGGGCGACATCCGCTATTGCGTTTCATAGGTCACAAAGTTGACTTACCATTCGAACTTTATTAATATGTACCAACTTACAGAGACTCGTTTTTGTGTATTATATTCCACCCACCATCACTCATTAGCGGTTCCTGCGTTTTATAAAACTTCAATGTATACTTCTCATTTACCGCTTTCAACAATACTATACTTTTCATTCTATGCTTTTTTCAAATGTTGTAGTAAAATAAACCTTAATTTGAAAATGAGTTTGTAGTTGAAGAATACAAGCGTTGAAATTTGAAAATAAATGCTAAGGAGGGCCACATCCGGCCCGCGGCAACGTTTCATCCGGCCCGCGAGCAGGTTTCTAGATGTGGACACTTTCTTTTTTATTTACATATAAAATATACTTTAACTGTGAACAAAAATTTATTTTAGGAAAATGAAAAAGTCGGCAATACCATTCGACTAATTTTTTTTTAAATGACCGATTGTTTTCGTCAGCTCGAGATGTTATTTAGACCGTAAACACCTTTACGTCGGTGATTATTCTACTCAAATCCCAAATTTCCTTCAATATATATATGTTTTGCATACGGAACTGTGAAACCATTGAGAAAAACGAGTCATTAGGCTATATAATATTACTGAAGATAAAGGAGTGCATCTGCAAGCAACCTAAATCGAGATTTCAGAGCGGCAGTATAAAATAATAAAAATTGGACAGAAACAAGATTGATTTGGAAGGCTTGCGACAGATTAAAAACGCTGTTGTAGAAATTGGAAACCGAAAAATTTCTGGTGCCCATGGCACAAAGTAAAGTAAATTCAACCGATTTTCATTGTACTAAATTGAATTTAACTCGGTGTGGTTTTGCAGACGTAGGGATTTTTCTATTGGTGAAATCTGTAAAATAGAGCCAAGTCATTGTTGCAAGAACAAATCACATTTGTTGATTTCACGAAATCGCAAACCACGAATAAAAGTAATCTGACACGTTATCTCACATTTTTATATCCGCGGCATGCGGGGGTATTTAAGCGTAGTAATGATAGTATTTTGCCAGAGCAATCGCGGGTTAAGTTTAAAACAACAAAGCAAGACATTTTAATGTGCCCATATCAATGCATTTTAAATATACTCGTATCGCAAAAATAGGTATCAGAATTAAGTATATTGCGGCAGTTTAATTCACATTTTTATATACGCAGACAGACGTTGTATTTTAGAGCAGTGCATTCCAAACTTTTAAACTCTCAAAGCCTTCCAATGCATTAAAATTTTCCGCGACCCCTGTCCACGTTAAAAATGCTATGGTGAAAACAAAGTTATATGAATCACGAATGTTTGGCCATCGAAGGCATGGTCTTAATTCCAAATAGTTACTCACTCTTCAGCATTAATGATAAAATTCAGCATTGTTTTGCAAGCGTGACGTTTCTCTGATCCCATGTATTGTCTCGAAATCGCGATATTTATGTTTTAAACTAGTTTTGATAACTGTGCTTTAAATAAAAATAACGGAGTACAATAGTACTTTGTTTTATTCAAATGTGTAATGAAATGCATTAAAAACGCACAATTGGCTTTACTTGGTCCGGCCCGTACTGCATTTGGAATATTCAATGTGGCCCGACAGCAAAAATAATTGCCCAGCCCTGCGAAAGAACAATGTCTATTCACACTTTTGTCAACAATTACTATGTGAAGCTCATGATTGAAACGTTAGTGTTATTGTAATTTAATTACAGGAATCAATTTCAAAGGCCAGAATTTATTCAAACACTGGTAACTTCGATTTGATATTACAACATTTTTATAATTAGTTTGTGTGAACATCGGTAACTCGTATTATATTTTATCATTCAGGAAACTCGAACGAACCCTCCTGTACTGAGGACAGAGGCAAGAAGACTTTTCAAATAATCTTTTCCTCGGTGAGCGTAGCATTATGCAATATACTTTCATACTAGGTCTTTTATGCAATGATACAGTAGTAAAAAATACGGCAACGATATATCAATACTGATACAATAACTAGAAAATAATAGAAAGACCCAAGTACATACCGAACACAGCAGGAAGGAGACTAACGTTACCACCTCCTTCGGCTGCATGTCGTTTGTTTACATTCGCGCGTCGAAAGGGATTGAACGTAAAGTTCACGTGACTAACAGGAAACCACTCGGGGCGCAATTGTACAAAATTTGCGATGAAAGTGGAAGCCCAGAAGAAATGTTTAAAATATAAAAACAATAACCATTTGGCCTAACCCTAGCTACAGAAATTAGTAACTGATAGGCTTGGCACTTGATAGGAGAAGCAATTTTTCGCCTGTGTGAACTCCAAGAATTTTCCTGAACTTATATTTCGATCGTATTAGATAGTGGTGAAATTAAATCCTATATCGATATCAAAGTATAATCAAATTTGATATTCAAATTTCTCGGTAGCTGTTTACGTTCAGATAAATGCCTTGAGTTTCATCGTTATCGTTAAGACAAAGTCAAGCGAAATCTAAATAACGGATATTAGCCCGCGAAAAGATGTGACCGAAATGGTATTTCCCAAACATTATTATATGTTTAGAATTAGATTATTAAACTTAGATTCTAATTGTATCACAAATTTATTATATTATAACTCTTTGATTTTCTTTCTTCTCAGGTTGAAGATCTGGAAAGTATGTGTAAAACATATTTTTTGGAAACGAAAATGAAAATTGTTCTTCCACAGAGTGGGGCGAATAAACCTCCGCATTCTATTTAATTAGAAACGGCCTTTTTAATCACCTTAAGTTGTTTAATAAATCTGGGATGATAATACAACGCTACCTCTAAAGAAAGTATTGGTTCGCTTCAGCGTAGACGTGAAACAGATACAGGAAGTTTGACTTAATAAGTTTAAACAGGCTATGCGGTAGGCCAACAAATCGGCGCTCCGGCAGTATGTGTACCAAGATCAGGCAAAACCTGAACCCTAACATGGTACACATACTATGTTCAGGTTGTGCGCCATCTTGGTACACATACTTCGGGAGCACCAACAAACCCGATATTTTTTGGTCGTTAATATTTAAAAGTTTGACTTGTTTGAAGCTTCACAATAACGCAGATTGATATTCATTAGGTATCATTGGTATTAATTTGTTTTGAGCATTCCTCTGAAATCAAATTACAAATACAATTCAAATAATTAAAAATGAGATACAAGAATATAGACTACAATTTCGAAAGTGCTATGTTAATTTACTCAAAAAATTTGGTGATGCCTAAATTCCGTAAGTTTCTAGCCAGGTAATACTACTAATGCAGTTTTCATCGAATGTCGATAAAGTAATCCAACGAATAAATATTTTAAAACCATTTGAAAAATATAAATTTTGTCCAGAAAAATTAAGAAACGATCCTGACCTACAACGCTACTTGGAAGAGAAACTATCGACAAATGCAGAAGAATATGAAATAACAACAGGTTATTATTATATTTGTCTTCATTTATTTTTGTTCAAGTATTTATTACTTTCTCCCATGAACCTGGGAATTCGAATTTGTTTTTCATATAAGAAAATTTGCTCAATGCAAGGTCCCGAGCACTCACTCAGAAGTGTCATTAGTTAGTGAGACAATACCGAATTTTAATGTAGAATTGAAATCAACGCGAGACATGTGGAATAGGATTGTCCTGTTTATCTTTGGGGAGGGGAAAGTCGATTCGTTGCATGGCTGAATCAAAGGCCGTACCACGGTCTCTCGCCCTGTCCATGTCGGGTATGATATTAGTTGGCCAGTTATTTGTTTTCAGATATTTTGACTTGATGGTCGGTTGCATCATTTCAGGTGATATGTTGTATGACACAGTCATAGTAAAAAGCCATTTTATCGAAATCATTTTTAACTACTCGAATATTTACTAAAATAGTATCTTTCCCGTTTAAAAACTACTAGGCCTACTTTTCAAACAATGAGCTCTTCAGCTCAAACAATACACACACACACACACATATAGGCCCACTAGTCTTGCTTTATGATTGGCAAGTGATTATTTATATTTTACAGTTCTTCAATCTATCGATCCTCAACTAAGTGAGACATCAGCTACTTATCCACAGATGTGGACCACTCATGCTGAAATGACAACAGAAAAACCAACTACTGGTATAATATATATGTTTACTTTTTATATTTGGGTGCTGGCAGTCTATCGAAAATTGAATTGGATTTTGTGCACACTATATGTTGGTGCATTTTTCTAGTTTAACAAAGCACCCGTCGACCCCCGTTTTTTTTTTTTTTGAAGAAATCAGAAGGCTGAAAAAATTCAAATAGAAAAATATAATAAACAATATTTTACTCTATCCGAGTCGAGGGTCTTTATCCTGTAAACACATTGGTTAGATATATTTTTTGCGGAGTGCGCCCATCCGAAAAAAAAACACCTTCAACCACTGCTAAAACAAGTGCTAAAACTCAAAATGTTATTGGATGTGTTTCTAGAATCTCACATTTTTGGCAAATCCCCTTTTTGGTGTCAGGAATTTATTCAGTCAAATCAATATCCCCCTCCGCTTACAGCTTCTTTTTGTCCAATCTAGTACGATTATTCGCCATACTCGTCTGACCATCAAAATAAAATAAAAATTTGTATCATTTTGAATCTATTTCCATAAATATGTACAGACGACCTTAAGACATGGAATAAATCAAGCAACAAATATTATTACAAACTATTTGGCGACCCAGTCAACTACGCGACTGCTAAAGCAAATTGTCGAAAGTTAGGAGCCGATCTTGCATCAGTGGGAGTAAGGAATACTACCGTCCGCAGGTTAGGTGATATTTATTCGAAACACCAAGTAGACATATTGCTTGGCATAGGTAGTGCTTAGAATTTAAAATACATTAGGATCTCAAATAATCATGACTACAGAGCCGCCGTCAGATTTTTAAACTTTTCGGATTTTGGAATCGTAGTCAAAATCCAGAATTTTCTGTAGGAATCAATGGAGGATTGCATACGCCATAGCTTTTGTTATTAAAGGCTGAATTTTCTCAGAAATGTCGTCGGAGCCAAAATGTTTTCAGCCCAGAATCGATATAAATTATGGATTTTTGCCATATACTTGCAAATGGTGGTGTTGCAAAACCCCGTTTAGATCTTGCACAGAAATTTAAAAAAGTTCTAATAGCGAAAACATAAAAAGTGGATACCACAAGGAATGCTATGAAGTTCCAAAACTCTTTAAGTATAAATAAATAATGCAATATACTAACTACCTTATTATGTTTGAGTATGAATAAGAAATGTTTTGCAAATTTAAACATTTCATACCATTTCTGATTTCTGAAGAGCATTTTTAAAAAGTGATGCCAAAAAGATTAGCTCAATTTAGAAGATTTAAATTGTTGGGTTAAATAATTTGAATATTAATTTTTTTTGCAGCGAAATACTCCAAATGGTGAAATCAGGAGGAAAACATACTTGGGTTGGTCTGGATGACATTGAACACGAAGGAAAATATGTTTGGGCTGATGGCGTAGATTCAACAAAAGATAATACCGATTGGGATGGTCGCCAACCGGACAACTATTTCAACGAAGATTGTGTAGAGTTCAATCCTTACATGAATTGGAAGTTAAATGACGCTACATGCTCATTGAGCAAATATTATATTTGCGAAAAATCTTAAATATAGTATATATTTAAACGTATATAGTAACGTAACTTAATGTCAAGGGTCAAATCCGGCCCAATGGGCAACTCGATCTGGCCCGTCTGATGTTACCACAACCAAATATAAAACCACCATTTTTTAGCTAAAAAAATTGAAATTGTTGAGATTGCGATTAAATTTAGTTTTGGAGCGAGGTTTATTGTTTTCCACCTTTGCTTTTCAAACACTGTAAATATTGTTCATAAAAAGTAACTGTTTACGTCACGCTTACAAGGCCCGCCGTGGTAGGGGGTCAAAATTTTAGGCCGCTGATCCCAAAACCTTGCCCACCCCTGAGTTAGACGATAACCAGCGTTGAAAATGAAAATAATCGCATTTTTAAACGCCAGCTTCCGCCGTAATACCACAGACCTGACAAAGATTCGGAAACATTAGCACTGAAAGGCTCGGACGTTGAAATATCAGAATTTATCAAATTTAAGTCCAGGAACACCCTGCTATCATTAGTATCTTATATATGATACAATTTTTAACAAATCATAGCAAGGTTTAAATCAATTCGTATCACAAGTCACAGTGCTGGATTGCAACTTGTCGAAAAGGCGTTTCAGTCACATTTAGAAAATTTGGCACATTATTTGTTGAAAGTTTTATTTTAATAATTTTATTCTATATACACAATATTTAATCCCATTTTCATTCATGTTTGTTAAACATCATCACATTTTTGTAATTATTTTGTATATATTTGTTCTGTATTGCAGGTTTGATGTATAAACTTATGCTTTTCTTTTCTCTTGCTTATTTTTTGATTCAATATTTAATCAAATTGATGCGTATATATATAACAATAATCTATAAGTCTATACATAACTACTTTATATTTTGCATTCCAAAGCGGAATACTATTTGTATTCTGAATAAATAAACATTACTGGAATATGGAAATAAAATTGTTTTGTATATAAGAGAGAAGCATGTCGAAAATCAATCAATAAATCAATCAAATCAGGGAATTCACAAAAACGAGCACAATGAAAGAAAAATGAGAATAAATTTATGCATTCGTCAGAATGGACAGGACAGCAGCGAATTTATTGGTCTACTTGTCAGTAGGGCTGGCCATTTTTGAATACCTGCTGATTTCAGAATCGAATCGAATATTGTTTTCTAATCAAATCGAACCTCGCATACTCGGGAAATATGTAATTGTGTGAGACTTTTTTATTTCAATTGGTCCTCTAGGCACATAAATTACTGAAACTTAGAATCCATCACTCAAACAGTTCGCTACGTTTTTACATACAATAAAAACATGATTTACCAATAACTCTCTATAAAATAAAGAAACAAAATGCATTGTAAAAGTATGGCTCTACTAAAAAAAATTTGGGGAATTCATCTCAACCTTTGACGGCCGAAAAAACAAAGCGGCGGCAATTCGAACTTTTCGAAACCAATTCGAATAATTTACTATTTGATTGAATCAAAATAATCGATTAAAATGCCCAGATTTACTTGTCAACTTGAGGTGAATACTTGAGCATTATTGTAAATACAGAATCAAACATATGGTACTGTTTTACATAATGCGAATATTGAAATCTAGTTATCTGGACCACCCTCCTTTTTACTAATAAAAAAAAATTGAAATCATATTACACGCTATCGGGTCCTTGGCTATTTTATATTACAGTTTCGATTCAATACTCGATACAACCTCGCTAACATAATAAGACCAATAAATTTCAATGATAAAAATCATTGTAAAATAATATCGTGTCATTGATAAAGCATCGCGCTCGAGCTAATTCCTCACCTCAGCTTAAAAAGACAATTCAATTTCCTTGTACAATAATAATAAAGCGTCATATGGGGGTCATTGAATAAAAAATATGCCATCAAGGTTCGTTGCCCTCTGAAGATAAAACATGCTAGAAATGAGCAATACACATTTAAATCTCTTTGTTATTACGAAATGCAGATCGCTATCGATCTCCTAACGAACATTCACTTCTAAGAAGCGAACATTGGTGAGTGATGATTTGATCCCACACGGATTTATCTTTGTCGCTCATGATGTTGTTTTAGGATTTTTTTCGTGTGGTACATGGGTCGTATGCTTATAGTATAGAGATAGAGATATTGTAAAATATTATCTATCAAGGGTGTGTGTGACTTTTAATATAGAAGGGCCAGATACAAATAACTGATGGAAACCGCGGGCCGCACCTTTATTCAACATAGGCATTGCAGTAGTTACAGGCACAAAATTACGAGCTTACAAGGTATAGGCTCTGCAACGCAAGGGTATTGGAATTACTCGCACGTACTAGATTATCCTAAATTAAAATCTCGTTTTGCGGGACCGTTCAAAATTGGCACTTCTCCGCGGGCCGCAGTTAACTTTGCACAACCTTGATCTAAACTGTTGTTTTAAGGGAGGGATTTCACATTCATCCCAGGGGAGAAAAAAACCTTCAAGACGGCCAATCATGTGACGAACCACGGCGACTCGTTTGGTTACCAGTTCATGTCGGGTATGGGAATAGAATTCAAATTGGTGGTTTGCTAAATTGGAATTTTATTAAGATTGCATAGATCAAAATCACGTATCGCACATATAACCTAGTTCTGGTTTAAACTTCCAAGTTTGCCAAACCATTAAAAAATAGTATATATATACATCATTTTATTCGTATGTGTGTTATCTGATAATCTAATGTTGATTGTCACCAGAGCAGTGTCAAACCCTTCGCATCTGCGTTATTTCTTCTATTGATTGAATTTCTTTATTTTTGAATGGATGGCCCTTCGTTCAACCAGGAAATAGGGTCGTGAACGTACAGTAAAAATTAGATCCTCATAAAAATACCAACAGTTGATTTTGTTTTTCTTCGACACTCTCTCCAATACTATTATTAAAAAACACGGATTTTACCTCACACATTTATTTCAGCTGTAAGCATGTTACATTTATTGATAGAACTTAACCTATACTAAGAGAAACTGGCTGGGCAACAAGATTTACTGAGACAACAATTTCTACTGATTAGCAATAAGGTTCTCTTTTAATTTTTCTTGGTGATATACTGTAATTCAAGAAAAATGAAATGTTTTGCCATTATCAGTTTTATTTTTATGACGAATATATGGATGACTGAACAAGGTAAGGCAACAGTAATGTAGTAAATAATGTTTTATGAATTATTCAAAACTATGATGTAATAATAACAACATCTCAATTATAATTATTCATACAATTCTGCCCGAAGGAAAAAAGGATCTTCTTGAAAGCGACAACAGTTTCGAGCACGGGTGTGCAACCTTTATTACAGAAGGGGCAGTTACAAATAACTGGGTGAATCCACGGTTCGCACCTTCATTCAAGGCAGGCTGTCCAGTAGTTGCAGGCACAAAAACGTTGGTTATTGGTCTTATGACATGCGTTGTTTGCTTTGCTCGGGCTCAAGAATAGGCTTTGCAACTCAAAAGAGTTGCAACTACTTGCACGTACTAGATTAAACTAAATTGAAACTCGTTTCGTGGGCCACACACCATTCAAAATTGTCACTTCCCCGCGGGCCGCACAATTTTTTTTTTGTGGGCCGCATTTGTCCCGCGGGCAGCAGGTTGGACACCCGTGGTTTAGAGCAGTGGTTTTCAACGAGACTTCCGTGGGATCCTAGCGTTCCCCCAGTGCAGTCTCTGGGTTCCATTCAAATATTAGTGTCGTTGCAACCGTAACTATACAGACTAAGCGTTGTAAACTGGGCAACGACGCATTTTTGCCAAAGTTAACTGATTTATAAATTTTCTTCATATCTAAAATTCAGATGGTCACTGCCTTACAAAGTGGAAGGATGGACGTTGGGTCTCTGTTGGCGATTGTAACAATCCCAGTGCTGAAGGTATAGTTTTTTTTTACTCACATCTTGGTTCACATACTACAGGAGTACCGACAAAAGAGCAGAATCAGATAATGAGACTTGAAGTTTAGATGTATTTCAACTAATAATCATTTTCCATTCGACATTTATTCGCGCTTTCCACTCTATGTAAACAGACACTGATATCTGACGATACCGTGTTTCTCCGAAAATAATATCAGCCCTGAAAATAAGACCTAGTCTGAATTTTAAAAATTATTTTAATATAAGATCTCCCCTTACAATAAGACCTAGTCAATGATGCAAATTTTTTTTGCTTTAGTGACATAACCCATCATTCCCTCCTATTGAAAACTCATTATTTTTGTATGAAAAGTTTTTGTGCCATAATGTCGAAATAAGTTTTCCCTTGAAAAAGTTTGTGCAACAATGTCAAACATTATATTATCATGTTATTCAAAGATTAGACAATTTATGAATTTCCACTTTTTAGGTGTTCTCAAACAAATGAGAGAAGATGTCGCTGTAAAAGAGTTGAATGGTAAAATATAATATTCATTTATTGTATTGAGAAATAATTATTGAAAGAAATACTTGGGTTTGATTATTAGGTGGTTTGATATTTGACAATTATTCTGCACCAGAGAGGACTATATTTCATTGCAAAGCTGATGAATAGTGGAATGTGATAGGCCCTATGTATTTTGAATTTTGCAAACTTACTATGTTCGAGTCATTTCCAATTCGAATGCTTGGCCGTTCTTTTCATAAGTTTTAACAACTTGTGAACTATCCTGCCAAACGCCGATCTCGTAATCCTTTTGTATTTTGTTTAAACATTACAGAAAAATTCAAGTCTTGGTACCGAGCCAGTAACAATTACTTCTACAAATTATTCAACGATAAAGTCGACTACTCAACTGCTAAAGCAAACTGTCAGAGCTATTCAGCAGATATCGCGGCGGTGGGCATTCGAAATCCTGCAATACGCAAGTAATAATAATGCTGTATTGGTTTAAACCAATTCAACCTTACACGGCCTATTTGACATCTATGGATTGTTTTTTTTATGGCTGTCAGTATCGCCTTCTAGTAATCGCTTCCGCTTTAATTTCCAGTGGTTGA